CATCACGGCCTCAGCCGGCTCTGCGTTCGCTCTCACCACCGCGCGCTCAACCGCTCTCACCGCTCTCGACCGGTCTCCACCGCTCTCGACGGCTCTCACCGCTCACCGCTCTCATCACGGCTCTCACGCGCTTCACCCTGCTCACCGCTGCTCACCGCTTCACGCTCGCCACCGCTTCAGGCAGCGCTCTCGACCGCTCTCGACCGCTCTCACCGCTCTCTTACGGCGGCTCTTCACTGCTCTCTAACTGCACTCTTCACCGGCTCTCCATGCCGCTCACATCGCTCTCACCGCTCTCACCGGCTCTCACCGCTCTCACGCTCTCACCGCTCTCGACGCTCTGCACCGCTCGTCACCGCTCTCCACCTGCTCTCTAACGGTGCACTCTCACCGCTCTCACCGCTCTCATCGCTCACAATACCGCTCTCGGACCGCTTCTCACCGTCTCACCCGGCTCTCACCGCTCTCACCGCTGCTCAGCCGTGCTCCCATCAGCGGTGCTCACCGCTCTCTACCGCTCTCACCGCTCTCGCGAGCCGCTGTCTAACCACTCTCACCGCTCTGCACCGCTCTGCATCGCTCTACGGCCGCCTCGAGCTAACGCTCTCACCTGCTCGTCCTCGCTCTGCCATCACTCAGCGACCGCTCTCACGCGCTCTCACGGCGCTCTGCCCGCTCTCACCGGTCTCATCCTCCACACCGCTCTCACCGGCGTGCTCACCGCTCTGCAACCGCTCTCGTACCGCTCTCACCGGCTCTCACCGTCTCTAACACCACCCTCTACCGCTTCTCCCGCTCTCATCGCCCACACCGCTCTCAACGGCTCTCACCGCTCTCACCGGCTCTCGACCGCTCTCACCGCTCTCACCGCTCTCATCCAGGCTTCTCACCGCTCACGGCTGCTCACGGCTGCTCAACCGCTCTCACCGCCTCACGGCTCTCTACCGCTGCTCACGCCTCACGGCTTCACCGGTGCTCACGGTTCACCACGCTCTCACCGGCTCTGCCACCGCTCTCACGGCTCTCACCACCGCTCTCACCGCTCTCACCCGACCGCCTCACCGCTCTCAGACCGCTCGAGCACCGCTCTCTGTCCGCTTCAACCGCTCTCACGGCTCTCACCGCTTCTCACCGCTCTCCCGCTCTCAGCGGCTCTCACCGCTCTCACTCACCGCTCTCAACCGCTCTCACGGCCTCTCACCACCGCTGCTCCCGGGCTCTCACCGCTTCTCACCGCTCCAGCCGCTCTCACCGTCTCACGCTCACGGGGCTCTCGACGCGCTCTGCACCGCTCTGTCACCACCGCTCGTCACGCTCTTCACGCACGCGCTCTGCGACGCGCTCTCCGACGCTCTCACCGCTCTCCACTACCCGCTCTCACGGCTCTCATACGCGCTCTTCACGGCTCTCACGGGCTGTCACCGCTCTCACGCGCTCTCGACACGCTCTCTCGCTCATCACCGCTCTCACGCGCTCTAACCACTCTCACGGCTCTCACCACCGCTCTCACCCTCTCCACCGCCTCACGGCTCTCACCACCGCTTTCTCACCGGGCTCTCTCACCGCTCTCACGGCCTGTCAAACGTCTCACGGCTGCTCGACGGCTCTCACCGCTCTCCCCACCAGCTTCTATCGGGCTCTCACCGCTCTCACGCGCTCTAACCACTCTCACGGGCTCTCACACGCCTCACCGCTCCTCACGCCTCTCGACCGCTTCACCGCTCTCACGCTGCTCAGGCTCTCATCGGCTCTCACCGCTCTCACCGCTCTCACCGCTCTCACCGCTCTCACCGCTCTCACCGCTCTCACCGCTCTCACCGCTCTCACCGCTCTCACCGCTCTCATCGCTCTCACCGCTCTCACCGCTCTCACGGCTCTCACGGCTCTCACCGCTCTCACCGCTCTCACCGCTCTCACCGCTCTCACCGCTCTCACCGCTCTCACCACCGCTCTCACCACCGCTCTCACCGCTCTCACCGCTCTCACCGCTCTCACCGCTCTCACCGCTCTCACCACCGCGCGCAGCGAGCATGTAATGCACGACGGCTGCACGCGTACAGCGCTGTTGCTACGTACTCACATCCACAAGATTAGATATCTTAAGAAAAATAGGGCAGGACGTACCTGCTTCGTTGCTATGGCTACGATTACGCGTACAATGGCCGGCTACACACCTAACGGCGCTGTACATTAAATGATCAGAGCGCGTTATTACTTACAGCGAGCGGTTTATAAGTGCGTTTAATAATTTGGTTTTATCCCAAATAGTTCAATTGATGGATGTACGTACGTTCCTTCGAGCATCTTTAACGCATACAACATGGGTAATATTGTAACCGATAAGGAACGTATAACATATCATTATTCTAAGAGTACAGACGACGTGATGTAAAATGCTGGCGTTGCCGTATGGGTTTATTACATGCCGTAGGTGAATAATACAGGAAGCCTTACTCTATAGGTCACAGTCCGGTACGTCAGAGTTCTCGCAGTAGAAATCATTCGCGATAACATCGAAAACACGGCAGCGCATTAATGTTTCACAATTAGGTGGTGAGCAAGTATACTGACATGTCCTACCGACGCGTTGGCATCAGCAGGATGGTTAGTGTCTTAATGTGATTACGTTGCTCTACTCGCCACCTGGGTCGTGCGCCGAAAATCGAGGTTATAACATCTCGCGAGAGAGCACTGTTTGTTTCCCTGTGTCGCAAAAAATCAACACAGCAGACGCCAGTAACTCTGCGTGAAAAAAACAGCACGCGTAATATAAGGCCAGCGTGTAAGGACAGCTGTTCTTTCTAGATAGCAGCGCTCGGCGGTTTGGTTAAATTGCCCGCGGGGCGCTGGGGGAATTGTGGTTTTCGCGGGTTTTCGACAAATCGGCGGGCTGGATGGTGTGCTTTATACGGGTAATCGCGCTAAAGTTCCGTAACTAGATACCTTGACGGCAATTAGCCTGCGACCGTACACTCATCGAAATTGCAGTCCTCGAGGTGTTTTCTACTCTCGTAGATTTGTAAAATGTCATCTGTTGTGGGAATAGAGCTTTCTTTTTAAGATGGATTACGCAGAATGTACGCCTGTGCAGTTGCGTGCACGTACGTAACCCTACTCGTGTCTAACAAAGCGATGCAATCACTACTGGGAAAAACAACAAATAATTATAGAAGAATCGCAGTCTTATATCTTACAGACAAAACAGTAGAACAGTATCTGGGAAGACAAACCGACTGCAGTCATCATTCGCATACGAGTCTGGTTCGGGATGGCCTAAAGCCTACAAAGTAATCTAGTTTGATGCAATGCGGGTGAAATAGCAATTTCTCTAATGGCCAAAACGTGGGTTTTACGTAAATGCACAACTTTGACACGTGTTCCCACCAGGGAATATATCGCTCGATTAGCAGTCTATGAGAGCTCTTGTACGATTCAGACGATAGATTAACATTCAGCATTTTATCAGGTGTAAGTCACGGCGCGCTGTGTGCTATTATTCGCGCGTGTTTTTACAGCGAGCTAAGTTTAATAATACTCTGCAATTTTGAGTAAGCTGTTTGTTTACAGTCGGGTAAACTGAGGCAAAAATAAGACGTTTGGTCAAGGTCCCTAGGTTGTATTTATTATTTTACTATTCGCTAGTTTCTTCTGCGTTGCGGCGACTATGGACACTACCTAGAAAACACAGATAATCCGAAAATAATACGTCATTAGAACCTAAACCGAAAGCGCATCGCTTCGCACTAGAATTGAATTCCATTCCTGTTTGGGTGTTGAAAGGTTGACATGGTTTCATTCATGTCTATCGGAAGAACTATGTACATCTTTCTCAGTCTCTCTTCCCTCATTTGCAACGGGTTGCGTCAAGCGTGGTGCGAGTAGGACAGCTTTCTATGAAGCTTCATATCAGTGTATTCGTAAATGCTCATAACATGCTGACCCGCATGTGCACTGATGAGTATAGCATACATCGCTAATTGGTGTAAAGCGAGTGATTTAATCAAGAATGCAGGATAACAAGAGTACTCTGTATATTTTTCTGTACCTTGTTCCCCTGATTTAATCAAGGAGTATACGAAAAGGTATGGTATATAAAAGAAAAAAACTGGCGGCTAGACGAAATTACCCAGTTCATTAAAAAAACACAATATTAGCTCAGGTACAAGCGGATTCTATACATGGCCTCGTAAACACAGAGAACTCTATGATCCGCAGAAAAACGCGAAGAAACAAAAAACTTGGTTATTGGCCTAAAATCGTTTCCTCCTCTAACAAATCGTGTACACGACTGTAAGAAATAGTCTAGCCTCTAGAAATAGACTGCCGCATTGATTCATATAGATCGCCTTGACAGATCATCTGCGAACACGCCGATATATTTTGCGAGTGTACGCGCAGCTAAGGAAAAACACGCGGCGGCATTCTTTAGGAAAATAAAACACACTCCGAGACATGATGACACGGTTAGCTGCGGGGTGTACGGCGTTCGAATATCGCGCACATGTCGATGCGATCGTAAATCACCGTACACGGAACACGTGTCGGCAATCGGAGAAAACCGCTTACCAGACCAAATGAGGAATCATTATCATGTGCCTAGCCATCGCCCAGTACAGCAGAGGCAGTATGGCTTCCGCGCATTGAAGCAGCAGCAGTATTAATTACGCAAGCTAGAGCGCATCGCGCTGCGGCTGATTAATGCGCATATTGGTGACTTCGCATGAAGTTAATGACCTAATTAATAAAATCAATTCGCAGCCGGAATTGCCATGACAAACATTGCGCGGGAGATGCTTCAGTCGTCATAGCTACGCTGCGCGGCAACGCTGCCTCTATACGCTGACTGGCGGCAGAGTTTGCAGCCGGCGAGCGGAGCTGTTGTGGTGATATGAAACTTGATGCGACAAAATTCGCCGGCGAATCGTTCTTCACAATCTGTGTTGATATTTGAGAACACTAACAGCATTGCGTTGGTGTGACATCGTGTCCGAGCGATCGACATGAGGAAAGTGCCGAATCCTCGGCACAAGGGAGGATTTAAGAGTTTGGTAATTATAATTATAGCCATGTAACCGTATCGCGCGTTCTCGGAGCCACTCCCGATTATATATACATGCAAGCATGCGAGAGAGTTTGACAGGGAAGATATATGGTGTCGTGAATGAATTGCCAGGCGCTAATTGCTTCACACACACGCACGCGCGCGCGTGCGTGCGTGCGTGCGTGCGTGTATGTAATGTACGCGTGCTTGCATGTAATACATGCGTGTACGAACGCGCGTGCTTGCGTGTATGGTGTGTGGTGTGTGTGCGCGTGGTGTGTGTGTGTGCGTGTGATCGCCATGAATTAGAATTAGAATGACTCTAGTTCCAATAAATTATTGCCTATACTACTACTACACGAACACTTGTTGCTAATGTGAAGTAGTGCATAAGTTGTAGGAGATTAACAGCATCATGCATCAACATAGCTGTCACAACTATATAAAAAGTAGAACGCCTAACTTTGTTGTACTATGCAAACTTAATTGTATTCATGAGATGTTTCGTAAATTAAAAAAATCGCCTAAATAATTGAGATAAATTTAATAATACCCGATCAGCTCATATCGGCATTGTACACACAAAATTGTATCCCCATGAAAGGGCTAAATATTAACGTTTCTCATCAAAAGAACCTTTGTATATGTAAGCGATTATTAAATATATATTTGATCACATACATCGTTGTTGCTTCGTGCCATGTACGCGAAACTGATCTATAACCAAGGGTGATCAGACAATGTGTAAGAATCTATGTAACGAGGCAATTTTGTAAAATGAAGTTATTTAAAGCAGCTGGATCCTCAAATTTTGTGGATTTTCAGACCGTCATATCCCGGAATTTATCATATCTGACATTTTCATTCTTATTCTCATTATCCGTCATACTTAAAATTGTAAGATAATAATATTGTCAGCAACACATTCCCTTCCACCTCTGCTCCACGAATAAATAAGTAATGTCTGATAACACAAAATGAAAGTTTCCGTAACGAGTTTAAGATTTACAAGCACTTGCGTGGAATGTGTTGCGACTTTGTCGGAGGAAACAACTTCGACGAAATATTCCCCTTATTCCCTGACGCTACGCACAGTAAGTTCACAGTTCTCTCGATGCACATCGGCCTTAAATGTGCATTATTCCAAAGTCGAATTCGAAGGAACGAAACGGTTTGCGATTTATCTGAGCTTTTTGAGCTCAAACAGAACATCAATTATGAGTACAATACATAAACAGCACGTTTTCCTTATAGGGAAACTGCTGGTAAGAGCAAAAACCTGTACTGAAGTATAGTTATTTAGAAGCGTTCGCCATATTCTCAGTTATTTGATCGAATCGTCTACAGAAATCTATGAATATAAACGGCGCAAGGACACGCCACAGAGCTTTGGATAAATGAACAAAATGTCAATGTAGCTGCATGTCAATTTTGCATATGAAATGCACTAGTCCGGGCAATTTTCGAAACGATGAGACGTGCAATAGTCGCACTATCGATTGAAGTATAATCTGAATAACTGATCGTAGTGCGGATTTCCTCGTCCACAAATATCTCAAAACAAGTTTTGCATGAATCGTTGCCGATCTTCGTAATAATGTGTTTCTGAATGCCGGACAGCGGCGTATCGACTGCGGACAGTGGAGTCTGCGCGCGACTTGGATGTAAATCTTGCGCTCGTGCACTCTCTATGCGGCGCGCTTTTATCAAAGTATCGGTGACTCATTTCACTTGCTACGTCATTGCAGGAGTTGGTCGGAGGGCAGCCGAGCGAGCGGAACTGGCGGGGGATCGGCATTGCTGTACTCGTCATACTCATCGTCTTCGCGCTGATCGTCACTGCAGTCGTCGTGCTGACGCCAGGTAACGCACCCTGCCACACGCTCCAACTATTGCGCAAATTTATTTATTTTTTCCGAAAATACGTCATCATCGTGTAGCCACCCATGTGAGATTAGTGACGTCCCACGATTCGAGCCACGCCCGGTTAATAGCGAATGACGTCTCTGTCTCGGCTGGAGGAATGGTACCTATATATCGGAATAGCACGTACGCGATTCGGTCGTACGCGGTATATGTTCGTAATAACCTTGAATACTGATATGAAATCAGTTTTTTATCGAGTATCATATTCTAAATACATGCTTTCCCCATTACTGTTTACAGTGCTGTATTTATTATTATTCAATGGCTATTGCGTTGAACTACCTGCGCCGACGCACTTGAGATACGATGCACGCACGGACTTCAATTTACTGCTGCATTTCGATATTCTCGTGGCCTTTAGCAGAGAACCATCTCTATAGTTGTAACGCGAGGACAGACACAGACGGTCAAAACAGCTCATGTATAGAGGCTTATCGTGGGGCCGTATCGTACTGTATCGTGCCGTAATGGAAGATTTGCATGAGCTTTCACCAGCATTACGGATTTGTGCAGATAGAGATATCACTAGCATTATATAGACAGGGATCGTGTGCGGTACGCTGTAAACAATGCTGGATTCAATCTGATAAAATACATTCCCGTTAGATGGGCGTACATATAAAAGGTAAGCGTCGCATAAAAGACGGGGATGTATTCTTTCCAGACTACCTTGTAACAGATGCAATAATATATCTCTTTTACTAACTGCAAGTACCATTTCTATTTTTAACTCTTCAGCCGAAGAAGACAATTTCAAGGGGGAGCGGATGGTCTTTGATCAGTTATTCACTGACGCATTCGACACTGACAAATACTCCATCACGTGGATACGCGGTATGAATATCAATGTACTGTATAATCAATTTGGTCTAAAAAAGAAACATCATATTGCTATATTATAGATTTTGATGTTCCATAAATATATCAGTCGCACCCTAAATGTCTGGTCATCATAGTGGTACGATAATGAACTCCGCACGGCCGAAAGGTTAGTGCCAGCTATTAAATTATCATTATAGATGGTACATGTAATCATAAATAGCTAAAAGTATATCTATCGCATTTTGTAATTGCAACGCAGCATAAGTATTTCAGTATGTGCTGCTGCTCTGACGATTATGTTATCTTGCAGTTCATTCATCGGGCAACCGGCTAACTTTTCGTACAAGGGTTGTTACCAATAAGAAGCTATCAAACTAATAGATTTTTTATTAACATGCAAGGTGCCTCACCAGGCTTTGAACACGTTTTAGGTTGCAAGTGTTCCGTAATTATAACTTACATTGGGTCGTTACTGACGTGTGAATTGGTTATATATCCCTATTATCTACTCCTGTTATATATCGTTAGGTTTTATTTCATCGTCTACATTTTAGGTGATAAATTCGTCTATAGGAATGACGATGGTGCATTAGTGATCCAGGATACAAGGTTGTTGGGCGAAGGGTTAGGCCCTAACGCTACCCTTAGGATCCTTATGGATAATAGCACTTTTGTGAGTAATAGATTTAAAAAATGTAATCTTGCATTCCCTAAAGTGTGCATAATTCCAATGATCGACGAGTATAAACAATAATACAATAAATTTAAATACGGCGATTGCAAATAATCCAGTTCAAAATGATCAAAACAAGTTTTCTTTTATATTTTAGAGAAGACTCAACACGGATGTCTATTACGTGTCCCCAGATGTAAAATATGTTCTATTGGCCTACGATATAGAGCCGGTAAGCGCCGCTATCATACATCAAGCCTAGAGCCGTTCGAAAATTGGATAGATCCCGGGAATTGATAAATTTACTTCGCGGATAACGAACTGAAGGGGATCCGGTAAATTGTCTATCGTGGCCTCATCTGCTAGAGCTTGATAGAGCTTTCCTGCACGATTTCGCAATTGCCGACCTGCCGCTTAAAATGTGATGTTTAATGTACATCGTTTGGTGGGTTTTGCAGGTTTGGAGACACAGCAGTCTGCAACGCTACTCTCTATACGATGTCGAAACACAGTTAGTATTATAGTATTATGGGATTTATGGTATTTTGCAATATAAAATTGTGAAAGCCATGAATTCACACACGCACATCCACACGCATGCGTGCACGCGGGAGCTTTTAACTCAATCTGTAACTATTTTTATCTTATATTGACTACGTGCGACGATCTTAGGCACAGCTGGCGTGCAGCGCGAATGCAAGAAGACGCATCTGAACGGCGGCGGACGTAAATACATATTACGTTTTTCTCATTGCGGCTGTGATTTTATCCGCCACTATAAATTTTACTTAAATAGGTGCTGTTGCTCTTCAGGGTATTAAAAGATGTTTACGCAGAGTCTTCCGACGAGAACGGCAAGCTTCAGTACTGCGGCTGGGCGCCTGTCGGACACAGCTTAGTAAGTAGACACTCTTGCTCGCGTATTATTACCAATAACCAGATATACCCGCGGAATGATTGGCGTGGCCTAATGAATTCGTCTAGAAAGGCAAGAATTTGAGCTGTCGACACAATTAGCGTCGTATCCTAGCAATATGCACGAGAGTTTCGTGAACGGTAGTAGTTCTATTGGCTGTACCCATTGACAAAATATTACTTGGCGTTCTTTGTACTCCTCCGCCACGCAGCGGCTCGTTTCATTGACGATGTTCTAAGGGCGTCGATTGTCTTGTTACTACAGGCGATGGTCTACAAAAATAACATCTACTATAAACAAGACGCGTGGGACGCGGAGAAGCCTCTACGCGTGACACACGATGGAGAGATGGCTGTTGTATTCAACGGTATCCCAGATTGGGTTTACGAAGGTAATTACTGCGGTTAAACCAACAATGAATGGGCGCGCGCGCGGCTGATGGCCACGGACATAATTGACTGAACTTCGTTGCTGACCGCGGATACGCTCAACAACGAGCACAGTGGCGATGGCACAGTCGTGAGAATCACGCAAAGTCACAGAAACATAGATGCTTTTCTTTTCTATCTTATCTATCCTCAATCCTGGGGCCGTAGCTAGCGGGGGGGGGGGAGCCCAGGGGCATATGCTCGCCAGAGGAATGTAGATACATTACATGGTCCGTCAATGGTTTCAGAACACACCACGCACGATGCTTTGCCCCTAGGAAAATGGGTTAGATACGATCAAGAGCTAATAAACACAAAATGTTTATTAGCTCTTGATACGATAGATCTTCCATTATGTACTCTTGGATAGACCTATCTGGGTTAATTGTTACTCAACCGTGTTGATTGAAAACGTACAGCTGACGTTTCGCCTCCTATCAGGACGCTTTCTCAAAGTCTGTATCCCCCCTCGTCACGGTTGATGTTCGGGATCTTGCGGATCCAGATGGCCTCCTTAATCTGATTGATTTTGATTTTGATTGGCTCGCGATCGATGATCTTCGAATTATCCCAATCGATGGTGTGATTGTCCTTCGCTAAGTGGTCCGTGATCGCGGATTTGGTTATTTCGGTAGCCGACTGTTTTCGTTGGGCCCCTGTGAAAAATTTGGGTGCTATATTCAGTGGAAGCGTTATTATTACAACAAGAAATTCAAAACGATTATTAGTTTACACGCTCTACTCGAGTTATCGATCATTTTATTATATAAAATATTGTCAATTACAGAGGAAATAATACGAAGCGATCACGCTATTTGGTGGTCGCCTAGTGGTCATAAACTCTGTTATGCAACCTTCAACGACACCGAGGTCAAACCATACTATTTCCCGATATACGGCGATGAAATGGATCCCTATACGACCGTAAAGGAAATGCGATATCCAAAGGTAAACACGCTAAATAGATCAACATTGACTCCCAGTAGGAAATTCATTTTAATTGGATATTATTCTCAGATTTATGATGTTCGATCACTTCACGATGATTATATCAATAATCACATAACATATATTGATGACACACCAGAAACATCTTTGCATTTCATACGCTATCAGAGGCTAATTCTGCTGTATCACCAATCGATCATAGATTATCAATATGGCGCGATACACCCTACTATTCCGACGTAACCGATTATGTATAAAAAAAACACCGTTATAAATTAACGATGTTTTGGGCAATTATGTCGACTCGTACACGGTTACAATAAGGAATTAATACGATTTGATACAATACCACTACAGATTGAATTTGGCTAAACGTCCTGTTCTGCCCCGTTCTCTGAAACTGCCAGTCATTATATATCAAACGACTTTCATCGGGCCTCCAAACGGTCCCGCGGTTTCACATCCTCCTTTCAATCGAGCCCGCCTGTTGATGTATATTTTCCTTATTGCCCTTATATGCGATCTTGGCTGATTACTCTACAGTAAATCTCATCTGAATCACAGTAATGGGGTTCTGAGCCCTCACACACACTGTTCCTTTAATTCCCCATCATCCCTTGTATAGCAGGTTATAAATTGGCGTCTACCATTCCTCTTCCCATTCTTCTATATGTTGCTTTGTTAATATCCACATCTTCAATCGATTATGACTGTACCACACCTCATTAATTAAAATAATATTTGTCTAATTAATCTGATACAAACATGCACGTGTGTGCAATTTACACATTGTATTTACGCACAGCAGTTAACAACCGCATACACACACACGCACGCCCGCACACACACACACACGCACGCACGCACACACACACACACACGCGCGTGCACGCACACTCAGGTTATTGATAAGAATTGTTATTTATTGGAAATCGCGCTTCCGTACAAGCAATTTGGATGAAATGTTCCCTGACGAAATGCTTAATCTCGTATTTGCAGGCTGGTGAAAAGAATCCAACGTGACGCTTAGTGTTTTCGACACGAGAAACCCTACGGTGATAGTAACACTAAAGCCCCCGGCTTACATCGCGAGTCTACCGTACGTGGTCCATTTGTGCGAGATGCCACCCCCTAGGGTGCATGTGTGTGTGTGCGTGCGTGCGTGTGTGTGCGTATTATATGTGAGTGTGTGTGTATAATGTGTGTACCTGCGTGCGTGTGTGCGTGCGCGTGCGTGTTAATGTGCGTGCCTGCGTGTGTGTGTGCGTGCGAGTGCGTGCGTGTGTGTGTGTGTGTGTGTGCGCGCGTTCGTGCATATGTGTGTATGCGTGCGTGCGCGTGGTCTGAAGGTAGATGGCGGATCTGTGTGCGACGCATGCGAGAGCACAAGCGACGGTTTGAAATTGAACGAGCCAACAGACAGCTATACACGCACACGCGCACGCACGCACGCACGCACACACACACACATATATATATATAATATATATAAAGCGTCGACTTACAGGATAAATGATTTATATAATACATGTAAATACGTTGTCCTACCACGCCCACATTTTTTGTTCTACTATACTTACAAAATGTCTACGTTTTCAGAGAACACTATTTCACCCAGGTCAGCTTCATTGACGACAGTCAGGTGTCCGTGATTTTTATGAACAGACAACAGAACGTATCCGTGTTTTCGCTGTGTAGCACCACCTCCTACGGACAATGTAACTCTGTAAGTAATTTAACCCTTTTGATTATTATAAACGAATAAAAATAAGGATTATTAAATATTACGTGGCCATTCCTCCACAAAATGGGAATGAAATCTTAGCGCAGCATGTTCGACGCGGATGGGGATAGCGTTGGTGGAGGAAGCGATTGCCAGCAGACAGGTCGAAGACAGTCTCGTGGGCAGCGCTTGATAAACTACTCAAGCGTTACGGATTCACGGATGCACTAAGCCTGTCCCCTTATCTACCGCAGCCTCGATCATGTCCATCATTATCGAAATTGCAGGACGCTCGTCCGAGGGTTTGTATGTAAACGAGCCTATACGCGATGCAATAGTTAGATCAATCCGACTGCCTCATACACCGCGCCTTTGCTGCGTAACAGAAACCGTTTGTTTGACGGACTTGATGGGGCGTCGGCGGTATATATATACAGTGTAGCGTGCACGCGTGTTCTGCGTTCCAGCAATACACGTACATGGAGCGGCACGGCTGGGTGGAGGTCTACAAACCTCCCGTGTTTGCCGACGACCTGCGGAGCTACTTCTACATTCTGCCGCAACGCGACGCCAGTCACGGGGACTTTATGCACGTTACCATGCTGGACATGTCCGTACGTATATGCGCTGTATCCGTAACGTAGCAGTGATCTTGTTGAAGAGCGACAATAAAAACCAACGCTATAATGATGTCGACAAATGTTACGCATATCTTGCTGGACCGTTTTATAGAATAATAACTCTAGGTTACATCAGGGTTCATTCGAGGATAAAATGATAAATTACTCAAAACTAACTAATTCGTTGTTGAGCCTCGCTTGTTTTTTTTCTATATCATATTATTCATTACGCAACGTTAGAGCCGAAAGCCAAATCAAGAAGCATTGATCTTTACAGACAATCGCATATATCACTCTTTGAGAATCGGAGAGCAAAATACCCCCTTCTCGGCATATAGGCCTACTACCATCGATTTTTCTTGAGGGTCCACGCTAGATGCATATAATGTGCGCGCTGGCTAACCTAGCATTCGATTTGCCGAAACGGGCGGTAATTTGCTGGTGCTGTGCTTGAAATTACCAGGATAATAAGCGCGAAGTGCACGAGATCCCGCTCACGCACGGCACATTCGACGTGACGGGCATCGTCGGATACAATCACGACAAACACACCGTCTACTACATCGCCACCGACAACCATCGCGAGTACGCCAGGCGGCGCCACCTCTGGAGCGTTGGAACGCCGCAGGCGGACAACCCTAAACGGCCCGTCTGTCTGACGTGCGAGCTGGACGATGACTGTCAGTTCTACGATGCGCATTTTAGCGAAAGCGCGACGTACTACGTGCTGCACTGCCAAGGTCCGGGAATTCCCAAATGGACCCTGCACAGCATTGAGCAGCTAGATCCAGGTACGGGTTAGTAGCGGGATAGAAATACGGGGCTAAACGACGAATAAACAATGATGTTTGTGGCAATCTGCTTGCTGCTGATGCTCTTAGCCACCACTGTTGCTAGAACGATTCGACACACACGACGCGCCAATACAGCGAACATAGTTTATACTAGATTGGGATAGTAGAATTAACTTAATTTGCCAACAAAGTAAATGAATCAAAGGTGTGACTTTTGCAGAAAACGAACGACTAGGGGGTTATTATTCCACCATCAACACCCTCACCAATATCTTGATCATGATTAAATTTTTGCGCTATACCCATCAGAAGAACGCATAGTTGCGCTGGAAAGAAAGTCGCTCCACGAAACGTTCTTCTCTTCGTCATTCGAAATGACAAGTATACGTCAGACACCGTGTAAAACTGTAATACTGACATTACTTGTCTGTTCACGCACATACACGCGCGCAGGGAAGCATTCCCAGACAAATATATGTACGCACACAACACCGTGTTGATGTTGCTGAGGCTGAGTATATAATTTGTTTGTTGCGACATTATTACTATATGTATACGTTTGTTTTCGTTCAGTGAGTATACTGTATGATTCTGCGGAGTTACGCATCACTGTTGAAAACACGGCTCTACCAAAGAAAATATACTTCCAAGTACCGGTAAATGACAATTATAGTAAGTATAATTGTATTTTACTTGTAACTGTAGCAACTTCTGTATACCTTGTTGATGATCACTACTGGAAAACTGTACGGCATTGCGTGCAAATCTATTTCCCAGTACTGTGCAGTATTTGCGCAACAGGGCTCATTTTTAAATATTGAAATTTTAACGTTATCTCAAAGCTCTAAATTAGTGTGACATTATACCTGAATAAATCGAATATAATAATCATTAAAATTTAACAACACATCTAACACTGAATAGGGACAATATATTAGAAGCGAAAGCATTTCATTCAAGACTGGTACGGATTCTAATAATCACTCTGTTTCAGAGTTGAATGTGGAGATGTATCTTCCAATTGAGTACAAGGAAGAAGAGGTCATAACGTACCCTCTTCTGATTGATGCGTGAGTATTCCTGTATATTATAGCGAAATCCTACAAGTCCTTCTTCTCGTTCTTTACGAACGTAGTATATAGTATTGCGGCTACGCGTGCACTTTTCGAAGAAGAACAAATTAGAGTAATATATCACATACATATTCATCACATATACCACGGGTATACAACCGCCTTTTTGCAATATATTCACACTATATTCACACTATTCACTACTTCATACAATTTAATGCAATATGTATTCATACAATATTCACACTAAACATAACAATCTATAAGTAAATATAATAGCTCTAATGTAACCGTAAATAATGCACAAGAGAGATAGTATTGTGTTTTGTAAGATTATTGCTATAACAATCCCCATATCACTTATACAATCTATTTTTCTTACCAAACAGGGGCAACAAATTGTAAGTATTATGATTTTCTATTTTGCGATACTATTATGCAATTTCATCATTGGTTTATGAGCAACCGTTTACCATTAAACAATTTTACCTGCACGTTGCCGAATTGGAACACTGTGCTAATTAAAGATTCGGCATCGATATTATTCATGCTGCACTTAAACTAAAATATGGTATTATGTTTATAGTTACTTGTAAGTTAAATAAATAATTCATTACAACTGTTAACAGCTAGTAAGTGTAATATGCGCGCGGGACTAGTAATAGTAGTCACTATAGTAGGACTATAGTGGTCACGAATTCGTCTATCATGACGACTATTACTTGTTATAACAGCTATGGTGGTCCCGGCACGCAGAAGGTACAGGAACGGTTCAAAGTCGACTGGCAAACATATCTTGCCTCTAGCCGCAGCATCATCGTCGCCTCTATCGATGGACGCGGCTCTAGTTGTCAGGGAAACATGATGAAGTACGAGATATACCGACATCTCGGTCGAAAAGAAATTGCGGACCAGCTTGTCGCAACACAGTGCGTAGATTTATACTTTACAGTCAAATTATTTCACACAAAATCGATGATAATCAATTTCCATGGCAGCTCTTATAGTAATATAAACGTAACCCATCGGGGTTCGTGAAGTGTGTTGGATTATGTACCCCATCTTAGTTAATCTCAAAGAAAGAGTAAACGAATATGGTAAATTCTGGGTACACCATATAGGTTCTCATGCTATGATTACCACTACATGACATCACCATTATATGCTATTACACACTGCTATTACCATTATATAATTACCACTAATATTATTGCAGCTACTACTGCCAGTGCCATAACTAATTTGCCGTCTCGTTTCGTATGCAGTTTTATCAGGGATAACTATAAGTTTGTGGATCCGCAGAAGGTCGCTATATGGGGATGGGTGAGTAGCCTTTACTCTTACAGTCTTACTATCAGAATATACACGTAATTTACGATGTCATTAGTGGGCCCCCTACGCCTACCTACGCAGTACGCACAGCATGCCATTCCAGAGTTTCCTCACGATAGATAATATAATACACTAGCAGTGCGACACATGTAATCGTGCGTAACATTATAGACACAACTGAACCGTTATTGGGATTACCATGTCATTTGTTTACCCTTGGTTTTACCATGTATATATATATATATATATGTGTGTGTGTGTGTGTATATGTGTGTGTGTGTGTGTGTTTGTGTGTGTGTCCGTGCGTGCGTGCGTGTGGGTCTGTATGTGTTTATATGTGCGTGAATGCGTACGTATTGGTGTGGGTTTATACCAGAGTGAGCGCGTGCGAGTGAGTACGTATGAGTGTTGAAATGATTTTAACTTTACTTGTACATAAAGTACTATACTGTCGTTTTTGTATTATATTTTTTCTTTGTTGTATAGTGCTGTTTTGTACTGTATTACTCAGAAATTTATTATTTGATCAGGAAAAAGAAAGACTGTCTTCAGTACATGTATTTGTATTTAAATTACATGCAATTAAGATTTAATAATAATAATAATAATAATAAAATTTCTTATTATCGTATTTAACAGTCCTATGGAGGATATGTTGCTGCGAGGGCTCTGAGTCATCCCTTAAACCGCAACAATGATATTTTCCAATGTGGTATTGCTGTTGCACCGATCACAAACTGGCGACTGTACGGTAAGTATCATTTCTGAGCATTATTACATATAACAGAATCGCACAGCCGAGCTCACCCATGCCCGACCATAATTGTATTATGATTCTTATAGCAAAAAAATCCATGATCTATAATAATTTAATAATAATATTTTACTCACGTTAAAACGTCCTGATGAATCAGATGAAAATCTCTCCGTTGAAATCCCGACAAATAAACTTGGTTATAAAAATGAATAGAGGTCTCGGCATCTAACCTCGCGTGGGATTTCTGCAACAAAATATACAGTAGTAATAATTATAGTAGGGCCTATATAGTAAATATAGTAGTAGTTAAAGGGATCGTTTACTCTAGGTTCTAGGGTTATTTTCAGTTAATTTAGGTTAAAATTACCCTACATAAAAAATTTCATGGTTCAATCACCATTAGAAATATTATTAAAAAATGTTTTAAAACTAACGACTAGTTTGATTACAACGACGGTGGCGCCACTCAAAGATCTGATAAGTTGCGCAAAACCACTTTCCAGCCATGCAAGGCCTACAGACCGAGAGTGTTTCTTATTTATTCATTTAAAAGCAAAAGGATTGTAATATCTTATAAACGACATATAGTTTCAGTTATAATATGGATAAATTTGCCCTAAAATAAATATCGTTCGGTTAAATAGCATTTAGGCATAAATATAATTGCATTCTTGTCATTAGCCCTCGGTCTGTCACGTGCAAAATAAATTGTCAAATACGTAACTTTTTCGGGGTGGCAGCACGGTCGCGCGTGTCATGGCGCCGTTCAAATTTCGTAGCGTTAATGTGTAATAAATTATAACAATTAAATTAGGTATCTGGTAACAAATACGTGTGGGTATAGACGATTTGTTATACAGTAAGTACAGTTGTATGCAGTAAAATCCTAGAGGCTACTGTCCCTTTAAATTAGGTATCTGGTAACAAATACGTGTGGGTATAGACGATTTGTTATACAGTAAGTACAGTTGTATGCAGTAAAATCCTAGAGGCTAGTGTCCCTTTAATAAAGTTACCCGCAAACACTCAAGTCGTGTGTTCTCGTCTTTGCTAAGAATATCAATTTAAGAAAAACTCAGCAAGCGTACATGTGCCCTTTAAACATCTGCGGGGTGTGCAACGTTGACCGGCGGACAATAGTGCTCACATAGCGAAGTGTAAATAATTACTTATAAATAATGAATAATTACTTATATCACGATCCCTTAGTTGACAAAACCTGAGTAATCATTCTCTATTGTATTGTCGAAAATCTACTAAGTGATACTATAATGTGGAAAGGGGAAGAAATAATTGTTAGGAAATATTTGAACTTCTGCAAAATAATAAACGACCTGCGTTTTGATGTAATTAGGCTTTAAAATGGCACATTTTTTTACTTTTGTAAAGGGAATCTTTTTATTAGTAGCCCTACAGGACAATCTTAAGAATCAGTAAACGTACATTCGATAATTATAATTTCTTATAACGTCTCTGTCCGTTTTCAGATTCAGTTTATACCGAGCGGTTCATGGGCCTTCCAGGCGCGATGGATAATTATGCCGAGTACGAGGTAAAAAGCAAGCATGTGTACGTTTTCTTTCAACAAAATGGCCACGAGACGCGCGCATGCAAACCCTCATGCACGTGCACACAGATACATGAAATCACTAGTAAACAAAAGACAGACGTGCCGAGGGTTCTCTATGAGCCATAATTGTGCTACACACCATCCGGGTGGAAAGATATTACATTGCATATACACCCGCCCAACAGCAGCGATCACTAAATTTGACTTGCTTTTGACGCACGCACGCACGCATTCATATATATATATATATATATACGCACGCCCGTAGACACACACACGAGATGCCTGCAATGTCTGTCACTATAACCAACGGGGGATGGAGTCGTTGCCGGCACTAATGTACAGTGCATTGCGTAGGATTAATGTTCTTCGAAATTATGAACCAAGATATTCCGTGATCGCTCTCGGCCCAGCCGCAGCATCTTAAGCGTACTCACGTATTAGCGCATTATCTCTGTAGGCGTCTTCAGTGATGCTCAACGCCGCCAACTTCGCCGACGTAGACTTCCTCATCGTGCACGGAGAATCAGACGACAACGTACACTTCCAGCATTCTGCTGTGCTCATGAAGGAACTTCAATTAAACAAAATCCAGTTCAGCTCCATGGTAAGTTCCGAGGAAAGGAGTGCAAATGTATTATGTACGTCACAAACTTTGTGTACTTTACGAATAAAACCATTAATTATTCGATTATACAGTTATACGTTTATATCAAAATTTTGATTATTTGTTTGACATTGATAGTAATGGAACTAAAGAAAATTATTACATCATATGTGGAATATTAAGGAAAGTTACTCAACACACTTACCTGCAAAACGTGTACCTCATCTGGCTCTCGTAAACATAATATATAGTATATACGTATGCGAATAATTTATACGTGTTAACTTAGTGGTAGAAGTACTGACTTAGGTATTGTTCAACGTCATATCACTATTGCCTTCTATTTTCAGGTGTATCCCGACCAAAACAACAACCTCGCGCGCACATCAAGGCACTTGCACACGTTACTTATCAATCGCCTAGATTCATGTTTTAGCGAAATTCCAGAAGAGGAAGATGCCGACATACCAAACGTCGTCGAGTCTAGTAGGCAGCCAGCTCAGTATCCGTAAAACACTGTAAAAGTGACCTTACAGCATATAGTATCACTCAGCATTGCTATGGGTATTCAACCGAGTAGCCGTCAACCGGCCGGAACCAAGTCCAATCCAAAGAAGTCCGCTCGTAACAACGATAAGACTTGAAGTCGTCGTGACGGCAAACGCGGTTCCGTTTCATTTGGGTGATACTCCATTAAGAGTGTTCCCAACTTTAATGGTTAGGGTTATGTTATAGGTTAGGTTAGGGTTAGGGTTAGGGTTATCAACCATTAATCATTAATCATTAATCATTAATGATATCAAAGTTGGGAACACTCCTAATGGAGTGTTAGCCTTTTATTTGCCCGAATAACCCAGTGAAACGAGGGCAAAATCTGACAGGACTGATCGGACTGTGGAAACTCCAAATAGTTGCCAGGATAAACCCGAAATTTGTCTCCGCCTCTTAATCATCTCTCATATGGACAAAGTGGACACATAAATTATAGCGCGAAAGTAGTAGCCAAATGTTAACAGAGACGTTGCCACGTATTAAAAGAGGTGTTTGCAAAACCCAGGGGTGGGCACTCAGGGTATTACTTGGTACGCATGCTCGTGAAACCATCTCAAAATTGGACCCTAAATTGCGTAAATAATTAGACCTTAATTAGATAATGTAAATCCTACTCCTAAATGGCGTAATACACTAAAACGGACCCCCTAAATAACGTAGCACAATAAATTGGTCCCTTAATCATGATAATTTTATAATGACAATTTTCTCACTCAATAGGTATTATAGAGATATACACTAGAAGCTATATTGATTCATTTCTTCATTTTGGTTTATTATGGCCAAATGTGACCTGCACAGCAAGATTTCACTTCAGCCCCATCAGGTAAACAGCAGAGAAGAGTACCATGACAGTTGTAAAGTCGAAATCAGAAGAAATGACGACCCTAAACGTCGAAGGTTAACCTGAAAAAGTATCCCTTTTTCTAAAGACGTCGTCGACGCTAAAGGGTCAAAATCCGATCCTTTTTCGACGTTTTCTCTAACGAGCATGCTTACCAAGTAATATCCTGAGTGACTCCCCCCCGGGATGCAAATACTTCGGTTTTGGTCAGATGACTAATTAAAGGTATTGCCAAGTAAGATCATCGTGCATAACTAGACGAGAAAGCAGATTTCAGGCCTGTGCCGCATTTAGAAACGTAAAGATGCCGTAACGTAAAAACTGACTTTTGTAATAGTCCATCTGTTACAAGTTATTTGGATAATTTCATGAAGCCTAAAATGAAAATTGTCAAGCTGTAAGCCGAGAACATTGTTTCGGTTCATATACCCTAAGTTATATAGTATACTATGTTACCTAAATGCGGAATAGGTGCATCATGTTCAGATTATGACCGACAGAATAGACGCATGCGGATACGTATTTACGTTACGCCCAATTTTATTAATTAGTTGGAAAAAATCTAAAAAGTTTATCCGATGTCATTGCGCGTTGATTGGCAAAATTCCGTTTCGAAATAGGATCAAATAATTCCGCATACTGCCGTATAGGTGTGATTTCACATGTTTTAAAATAGAATTTCATGCACTATAGTGTGTATGTTTTGGGGCTAATAATTCCTGCGTCACAAACGGCAATCAACTCCATGGCACAAGTGTAGGCCTACCCTACACATCTCTGGTTAATTTGTTCTTATAACTGACAGCTTCGTGTAAACACACACAGCTAAGCCTTGCGTAAGGACATCGGACGAAATTATGTAAATTTGATGGTAGTATTATACAGTTACACTTTATACTAGTATTAATATTATATCGCTAGTCAATGATACGTGCGAGTATTTATACTTCAACAATACGAAGGTATGGGTAATATATAAAACATACCAGCTCGTATTATTCTTGTTCTTTATCAGGACAAATGTTAAATACGCAGAATTCTTGTTTATCGAGAATCGCGAATCGTTCTTGGTAAAGAAGGTAAAACTAATTTTTGACCTTTTTCAACCAGACATGTGCCCGGGTTACGGCCGAAGCCTCCTATTTACAAGTTGCTTATTGAACATAGGAGCTAAACATATAATGCAATTTTTATGCCACCATATGCATGCACGAATGTAAATACGTTTTTTCATCAATTGTATTTGTATTAATGGTCCGGTGAGACAAGTTAACGTAGGCTAGTAGACATTTAGCAGGCATATTTATGAGGGCAGATTTCGTAATTATATCTAGGTATTCATTAGCAGGATAAGGTGGGATATCACTATCTGTTTACAGTGGAGCGTTTTCCCGTGGAAACACATTGAATTGCTGAATTGGAATAAACGTTTATTAGTCAAAGGTTCCCAAGTAATAAGAACATACACTAAATTGCTAAACTCGGCTATGGTTGTCACTCGTACCAGCAATTATTATTCATGTTGTAGGTGACATATGAACATGGCTTGGGTCATACAATACCTATCTCACTAAAGAAAGTTGGCGTTCTATAAACAGGTGCTTATATCGCACGCGTTGTCCCTTGCTCAGTTCCAATGGGTTTTTATATTTTTGATAACATAAAGCTGGGTATTCGTACATACAACAATACTACTATAAAACAATCTCATTATATATATATATATATATATATATATATAGAATAATGTATATAATCATGTTAATTATTTAATTATTGCTGTTGACCTTTATTGCTGCCCGCCCACATTGGGTAGGTTATACGCAGCTTCTTAAAAATGTATATAAATACATACACATATATGCATACATACATGTAGATGCACATTTTTAAGTCTTTAGTGTAAATAGTTTGGATGTTTATAGTTATTAAATTTGTTGTTATTATTCTGTCTATGCGTTAGTAGGGACCCTACCTGCTTTAATAGTCTATGCTCGGTTGTTATGAGAGCAGAGGTAGTCTTGTTTATTAAATACCTCTGTATGGCATCGAATCGCGTTTATTTACTACTAACTATATACTACATAAGTGTGAGGTCGCTCATATTCCATACGTCACGATGGAATATGCTTTAAAATGTGATAAGCACCTCATATCCCTCACATAGCTACTAAGGGTATCAAACAGCTTCGATCATTACTGATTTTTGGGGTGTGGCGATAACATCGAATGATGTTGAAATCTGTTATTACGTCTGGAGCTATGAAATCGAATCGTAAGATCTAATCATATTTCTATCGAAAAAGTAAAGACACGCACACGCATGCACACGCGCACCTACACGTACGCATGCACACGCGCGCGCGCACACACACACACACACACACACACACACACACACACGCGCGCGCGCGCAGAGACACACAACAGACGCACACATACATACAACAGGCGCGTACACACGCAGGCACGTACGCATGCACAAATACACATTCAGTTCCTCTCACATCACATAGCTAGGCACGCTTATATATACGCAACCGGGCCATATTCCAATCTGAGCGAAATGGTACGTATATAGCAGCCGCGAGTGTCACAGTAAAACAATCGGAAGGATCTACACTCTAGTATGACAGTGGCGAGCAATACATGCACTTTAGTTTGGCATCGTTACTTGATATCATACTTCTAGACCGGTTCTGTACAGAATCGCATTGTGCGCACTATGCGCGGTATTTGTTATTGTATCGTATTGAATCGATTCATCGTTACCAATTTATAGTAGTGGCGATGTTTGATGAAGTTTTCTCCCAATAAAATGTTTATAAAATACGCATTGATAGTTCATAGTTTACGTTCATACACATACACGCACACACGCGCACATCATGCATAAATTAACTCTATATAGCACGTCGCTAACTTGCGTTGCAGTCATAACGATCCCAGTGATTGAGCATGGTACTGACCACTAACGTGTTGTCGTTTTCTCGACCCAAGGTGCTGCGATATTAGAGTCCATGCTAATAAAGTTTATCTCAGTTAGATCCAAATTAAGTTAAAAAGAACTTACACTGACGAAATTTCGGCCATCTCTCCGATAGACTTCCTTTGGATCTAACTGAGATAAACTTTATTAACATGTGAACTATAGAGATGCGATGAAATTATTCAATCAGGTATTAGAGTCGCTATCCTAGTTAGGCCTATATACCAACGATATGCCCTGGAAAGACGTTCATAGCATACTCGGCTATCGTTCGTTTCGCAATCAAACACAAAATAATCTATAAATGAATTGCATCAAACTGCGACAGAACAAAGAGCTCCACGCATACAGCTAGCCTAGTATATATATATATACTATGTATATATATGCTAGTGTAGTGACCCTAAGGGTGATCACTCAGAGTCTCAGACATTTCCCTGCGCGTAGATGCGCAGGGTATTTATTTGTTTCCCGGAACTTTTTCCCTAGGAAGGGGCCGAGGGACCAGGGGCGGATCCAGGGCTGAAGCTAGACAGTATTTTTCCAGATTTTAAGGGCACATCCCCCCCACAATGGGCGCCGTTAGGTGCGGAAGCACATGGCGGGAGGTCTCCCCCAGGAAATTTCAAAATTTCAAGGGTCCCTGGGCACAAAAATGAGCACCATTTGAGCACACATTTAGTCAAGCAGCAATAGCTAAAAACCATATGGAATTTTATTTCTGCTTCATTTTGCCTGCGCTTTGCATACAGCAATTGATGCAGAATGATACAAGCACTTCCATTCTTTTTCAGATATCAAAGCTAGTTTTGTTACCATGTAAAATTTTGATTTTCTTCAAGTCCTGTCAATGAATCAGAAGAAAAAGAAAACAAATAAAGAATATAGCCAAATTCCATCAAATTGTTTTCTGTATTTTTTAGCGCAGAATTTTGAAGGGCACTTTGAAATCTAGACCGTATTTCCCAATACGGCAAATACGGTCTGAATCCGCCCCTGGGGACGTACTGGTGTTGCGACTACGGAGAGTCTATCGATCGTGGCTCTGGTGTGTACGTTTGCGTGGTCCTTTGTATGTGATGGCAAGGAAACAATCCACAAGATGAATTCTTAACGTGTCTGACGACAGTCAAACATTTATTTTAAAAACAACGTGCAGAGGTACATATACACAGAATGCTGAATATAAATGCTCACGTCATTCGGGTGCGTGCCTAAAACTCAGATTAACTACACCGACTATACGTCCGGAAAGATAGGTAGCTCTAGGGTCCATGTATAC